TGTTGTATTGTTGTATTATCCTTTAATTTGTTGTATTGTTGTATTATCCTTTAATTTGTTGTATTGTTGTATTATCCTTTAATTTGTTGTATTGTTGTATTATCCTTTAATTTGTTGTATTGTTGTATTATCCTTTAATTTGTTGTATTGTTGTATTATCCTTTAATTTGTTGTATTGTTGTATTATCCTTTAATTTGTTGTATTGTTGTATTATCCTTTAATTTGTTGTATTGTTGTATTATCCTTTAATTTGTTGTATTGTTGTATTATCCTTTAATTTGTTGTATTGTTGTATTATCCTTTAATTTGTTGTATTGTTGTATTATCCTTTAATTTGTTGTATTGTTGTATTATCCTTTAATTTGTTGTATTGTTGTATTATCCTTTAATTTGTTGTATTGTTGTATTATCCTTTAATTTGTTGTATTGTTGTATTATCCTTTAATTTGTTGTATTGTTGTATTATCCTTTAATTTGTTGTATTGTTGTATTATCCTTTAATTTGTTGTATTGTTGTATTATCCTTTAATTTGTTGTATTGTTTCCTTTTTATTCAATAAACAAAGCATTAAATAATATGACTATTTATTAAAAACCTTTGAGCATCAACACAAAGATTAATTAAAAACACACCTTAATTTATTGCAAACAACACACAAAACAAACCATACATAAGAGCATAAAAAAAAAACGAGCATAATTCCAAAAAACACCACACACAAAATAAAGCATAATTAAAAACAAAGCATAATTCCAAACAAAGCACTAATATCTCTCTCGAAACTTAGAAACAGGATATAAGGAATTTGGGATAAAGTAATCCTCCAAGAGATTCTTACCCCGAGACTCCCTACGTCTGTCCACATTCGGGGCACGACGACGGTGTTGCCTTGATTGATTAAGCATACACACCGCTGCTGCAAGCATTTGTTCCTCTTCTTCATCGGCGTCTCGATCTTCTTCAGCACGTCTACGCCGAATTTCTTCCCTTTCTTTCTGTTGCCTCTCCAACACCCTCCTCAAGTTTGACATTGAGAGTAGAAAGTGTTTTGTAAAATATGAGAAATGAAGGAATAGATAAGAGATGGTGTGAGAGGTATGAGTTGATGGTGTAGTTTTATAGAGGGATTCAGAAGATAGAGATGACACGTGGCACAAATTTAGAGGGTGAAAATCTTATCTGAAATCTGAGATTATAATTTTTTTTTAATGAATATAAGAAAATTTTATCTGGAATAAGACACGTGGCAACCGAGATTCTCATCCGAAAATCTTTTCTGAAAAATAATAGACACGTGACAACCAAAAATCTTATCCGAAAATTTAATTACAAAAGATTATCAAAATTAATGGTTTAAAGTATAAAAAAATAGGAAATAAAGTACAATGAATAGTATTTGCCTTAGACTTGCCCTAGACTTAGCCCTCATGGGTGGAACCACAAATGCAAAGGCTGACACTATTCACGTGAATAGTGGCAGCCCTTGCTTGCCCTTGCCCTAGACTTAGCCCTTGTGGGTGGAGATGCTCTTAATTAGCTTTCAAGTTTCATGCATCCCATCCCAAAAAACAAAACGTTCACAGATGGAAAGCTCCTTTGTGCCAAGAAACAATATAGAAGATGCTGTTCTGTTGTTATTGATTCTTCTAAGGAAATTTGTTACTGAAAGGATTGAATGGGAACCATCAATCCTTGATCATCTTTCTTTTGCCTTGTCCATTTCAGGGAAAATAAGGGCCCTAGCCCATCATATTGAAGAATTGATTCCTGGAATTATGGGAAGACAAGAAAGATGTTGCACCTAGAGAAAACAATGAAGAGAGAGAGATCAATTTTTTAAAGTTTTAAATTTTATGTTTGTATTTTAATTTTTTAAAGTAATTAATTTTTTATTAATTTTTTTTATCCATAATGGAGGTGGGCTCCACTTTACCACATTACCCACCCAAATTTGTGAATAAAAAACTTAGGTGCCCAAAATTACTAAAACACCCTTGCCACGTCATCAAACTTAACAGACTTTTGGATGAAATTGACGGTAGAGGGCACTGTAGAACATCAAACTTTGGTCAAGGGGGCAAAGTGGATCACTTTAACTTCTAGGGGGTAAAGTGAGAATAGACCAATGTTTCAAGGTGCACTGTAGCAATTAAGCCTTACAATAACAACAAAATCACAACTTGCTACATACCTTTTTCATTTTCAAATGTATCAAACCATTCTAAAACTCAACATACCATAAAACTTCAAATTTTATATTAATATAGCTATAATTCATTATTTATATCTAGTTATTTTCTAATTAGAGGACTACACATGTAAAATTAAATATAAATATATAAGTCGACGGTCTGATTCGGTTTACGATGGTTTACAAAAGTTCAAAACCAAACCAAATCAAATAATATATGGTTCGGTTTGATTTTTAAACTGTTTTAGTTTTTTCTTGATCAAAATCAAACAAAACCGGTAATTACGGATTGGATTTAGACCTGGCAATATTGCACACGACCCGTTAACACGACACGAATTCGCACGAAATTATCAGTATTTGGGTTGAGCTTAATGGGTCGGGTTGAAAACGGGTGAACCCGTTAGCCACCCGTTAAGCTAACGGGTCGTGTTGGGTCGAAAACGGGTGAACCCGTTACACCCGTTAGGGAGGTTAATTTTGTAATTTTGCAAAATTTCTTTTCTTTTCTTCTTCACCTTTTCCTCTTTTTTTTTTGGGTGAGTTCACCTTTTCCGCTTTAGCTTTCTCTTTCCGTGTCCTTTTCTCGGAAAAATAGCTCATGTAGTCGATTAACTAATTCCCTATCGTACCATTGGCCATGTCATTATATCGATTACATTTTCTATCAAATTTAAGGGGGAAATTATCATTTTAAGTCCACCTCCCTAGTGGTTTTAAGAGCAATGGTCTATGAACCTAAACTCAATTTTCATTTTGGTCATTCAACTCAAATATTGACTCTGGTGGTCCCTCAACTTTGTTTCCAACTTGAATATAAGAGCAATGATAATTTTTTTTTTTGTAGTTTTTACTTCCTACTAGCTTTCCTCTCAAGGTAGTTGCAATCGTCAACAAATTGTACCATCATTTATCCCCAAGCACAATCATGATTCTAGTTTCAATAAGAAGCAGCAACCTAGTAATCTACCCCACTCACCCCAATGGCAAGCCACATTCCCCTTCTTATTACTAGCCAATTTGATTTTCAAAAGAAATGAGGAATTTATGGATAAAGTTTGAGGGCGAAGAAGGGGGAATGGCTAGGACATTGGGATTGGGACCTTCATTTTGTTCTTCGATGATAGTGACAGGACCAATGATCAGAGAGGAAGTGAATGTGAGGGATCATCGAAGCTAATTAATATTCGAGTTAGAGGACCAAAATGTAAATCATGCATAAATTCAAATATCATTGCTCCTAAATAGCATCAAACGTAAAAACTACTTAAAATGAAAAAGCTGCCCTTATCTTTGACATGAAAAGTAAGAGCACTTCCCCCCTTGATGCCATGGCAAAGAGGGCAAGTAAGGGTAGAACTATTCACATGAGATATGAGGAGAGGATACAAAGTTTTGGTGTGGGAAGTGAAGAACATGGGTAGGTATTTATATATAAAAAATTCTAAATTGTTTGGTGTTTTTTGCTTTTTTTTTTTTTTTGGTATTTAAATTGGTCGTTGATGTCAGCATGAGATCAATAAACCCAGGCAGCAACTCAGGCAATTCTTGCTTTTGGGTTGGCCTGGGTAAATAGGGCCCCTTTTTGTCTGGACTGCCTTTCATTGATGTCGGGCTTGTTCCAAGCCTAGGCTCCATTTTGCCTTGACAAATGTGCACCAGTGGAATGTGAGATTCGGGCCAACAATACGAGATAAATTGAAGGTGAAGGACTGTAAGAGCCATTTTCGAATTTGAGTACCAAAATGTTAATCTAATGTAAATTCATTGACTATTCTAGCATAAATTCATTAACTATTGGCTCCCAAAATCCAATGCGTCAATATTGTTAGGTTAGAGCACTTCCACCCATTTTTCATGGCAAAGGGCAAGGGGAGGCAAGGTGTGTTTCCACCCATTGCCATGGCAAAGGGCAAATACTATTCACTTTTAGTTTTTATTTTTTTTTATTTCTTTATATATACCTAAACAATTAATTTGGAGAAGATTTTCGGATAAGATTTTGGGTTCCCAATTGTCAATATTTATTATAAAATTCACATCTCATAATTCGAATGAATTTTTCGGATAAAATTTTCGAATAAGAGTCTCGGTTGCCATGTGTCGATATTTATTAAAACAAACAAATCTCAAATTTCAGATAAGATTTTATTTTAGGATAAGATTCTCGGGTGCCACATGTCGATATTTATTAAAACAAACAAATCTCAAATTTCATATAAGATTTTATTTTAGGATAAGATTCTTGGGTGCCACATGTCGATATTTATTATAAAATACAAATCTCAGATTTCAGATAAGATTTTCACCCTCTAAAATTGCACCACGTGTCATCTCTATCTTCTAAATTTCTCTATAAAACCAGAGGCTCAACTCATACCTCTCACACACAAATCTTCTCTATCATTTCATTTCTCAAATTTTAGATTTCATACTACACTCTCAATGTCAAACATGAGGAGATGCTTGGAGAGGCAAGAGTGAGAAAATAAAGAAAGAATGCATAGACGAGTTGAAGAAAAAAGGTTGCAGTAAGAAGATGATGAACAAGTTGTCATGGCAGTGGGTATGCTTGATCTATCAAGACAAGGCCACCACTGTGGTTCACAAGTCAGTCGTTGCCCAAACGTGGACAGACATAAGCATTCTCAGGGTAAGAATCTTTTGGAAGATTACTTTATCCCAAATTCTGTGTACTCTAATGTTGATTTTCGATGGCCATATAGAATGCAACCTCATTTGTTCAATAAAGTCATGCATGATGTTTGCAATTACGATGCATACTTTGTTCAGAAGTGTGATGCTGCTGGGGTTTTGGGGCTTCCTCTGGAGCAAAAGCTTACAACTATTATACGAATGCTGGCGTATGGTGCATCTGCTGATCATGTGGATGAGATTGCTAGGATGAGGAAGTCCACTACTCTAGAGTGCTTGGTCAGATTCTGTGATGCAATCGAAACTCTTTATACCAGGGATTACCTCCGCAAACCTACGCCTAGGGACCTCCAAAGGCTTCTACAAAAAGCCAAAGCTCAAGGTTTTCCAGGCATGATTGGAAGAATCGACTGTATGCACTGGCAATGGAAGAATTGCCAAACTACCTGGCAAGGAGATTATAGGAATAGGAAAGTGCAAAAAAGTATCATTCTCGAAGCCGTTGCTGGATTCGATACATGGGTTTGACATGTCTTTTTCGGAGTTCACGGATCTTAAAACGACCTGAACATGTTGGGTCAATCCCCGGTATTCAACGATGTCTTGAGAGGTGAAGCCCCGAATATCATCTATGAAATCAATAATACCGTCTAATGGAATGGGTATTATCTAGCAGACGACATCTACCCGGGGTGGACTACATTTGTCAAATCAATTCTGCATCCCCAGTCGGAGAAGGAAAAATAATTTTCTGCCTATCAAGAAGGTTACAAGAACGATGTCAAAAGGTGTTTTGGTATCCTCCAAGCTCGGTGGGCAATTATAAGGGGTGTTGCGCGTATGTTTGATGAGGAGGTGCTGATGAGCATTATGATGATGTGCATCATCCTCCATAACATGATTGTGGAGGATGAGTATGATTATGATGCTCCATATGTAATAACCCGATCCTAAATTATTAATTAATCATTAATTTATTATAGTAAAAGACAATTTTACCATAGGAATATTTAAATGATTTAAAAGTTGACTTTTTGTTCGGAAAGAAATTTGGGGATTTCAGTCGTACAGTTGCGTATAGCACGTCGAGATGAGTCCGTAGACACGTAGTGGGCTCAAATCGGAGTTGTAACGAAAAAGTTACGATCAAAACAAGCTAGTGGCAAAACTGTAATTTTTGCGAAAATAGTTTTAAATATCAGGAATTTCTCTCTCTCTCTCTCTCTCTCTCTCTCTCTCTCTCTCTCTCTCTCTCTCTCTCCCCTCACACACACCCCCCCCCTCCC